ACAAGATTAAATTTTAATGCATAAATGCATCTATATCTGACATGGGTATTTTTATTAAAAATTATTTACTTACCTTAAAAATTGATTTTAAAAATAGTATTTTATATCTTTCCTATGGGTAGTCCTTTTGTGCCTCCAGATATTTTAAGACAGTGCACATAAAATACTTTATTTCTTTTGATCAAAATCCCAAGTTAACTCTTTGTCTGATATCAATGATTTAATTCTATCTTACAGCCTTGGCAGAGCTTAAAATTCAGTAGGATTAGTCAAGTTCTACATTTATGATATTCCTCTCATATTCTTTGATTTATAGAAAAGAATCTTTAATAAAGGAAAACCTGAAGCTACTGAATTAATAGATAACAGCTATTCAATCAGCCTCATTCCTTCCTTTCAGTGACTGAAAATATAATTTTTATAATGTCTCCAGGTACTTAATACAAAATTCAACTCCTTGTGGCATACAGTCCTTGCTTAAATTGCAACTAAGATGAGCTTAACTGTCTCATTCTGAGCAGAACAAAATCCCCATCATACAGTAACCCCCTTCCCTTGCAGAGTCATTCAGGAGTTTCTGCCACAAAGTACCTGACTAAGGTGACATTGTGGGGAAAGGAGTCAAAAGATAAAGACAGCTACACATCTAGATGTTTCTAAGTTGCAGAGATGCAACTATGCATTTATCTGCTGCTTTTATCCCCATGGAATAAGGAAGAGGTGGAGGTGAGGGGAGTTCTGGGTAGTGGAGCACCTCAGAAAGTAGTTAAGGATATGCCTGTGCTAATGCCTTCAATATGGACACCACCTGAGATACTTCTTAACCACTTTGCCTGTTTCTGTGCATATTTCCATGGGCAGACAGCCTTGTTAATAATATACGTGGTCCAGTTCTGATCATCTGTTGTCATCTCTGTTCGCAACATAAACACAATATGCTTTAGCCATACAGTAAGCACCTTCAGTGTATATGCACTCTTAGTGCTATCTTACTCCTATTTGGGGACCATTTGAGAGGGAAATCTCCTAAAGACTGGTTATATGCTGGGCATGGCTCATCCATGATCCACAGGAGCAGCTGCCAAGCAGTCCTAAGGCAGATCCATGGCATTAACTAGTTTATTATGCACATGCATACTGACATTCAAGCAGCAGTGAGGTGAGAGTCAGTCTCTTTTCCCAGGTAACAAGTGACAGGACTGCACAAAATGGCTTTAAGTTGTGCCAGGGGAGGTTTAGATTAGATATTAAGAAAAAGCTTCTTCACTGAAAGGGTGGTTAGGCATTGGAGGAGGCTGCCCACAGAAGTGGTGGAATCACCATCCCTGGAAGTGTTCAAAAGGCGTGTGGATGTGGCACTTGGGGATACAGTTCAGTGGTGTGCATGACAGTGCTGGGTTAACGTTTGGACTAGATGATCTTGCAGGTCTTTTCCAACCTTAACAATTATATGAGTCTGTGATTCGAGAGCTCAAAGTGTTTGATTTTCCATGATATCATTCTTTTAACACAGTCTACATGAAAGGATCATACAATCCAGTATTATTTCTCTGTGCAAATGGAAACAAAACAAGTCCAAATGCTACAGTAGTGTTTTTCACCTCATCTTTTAGAGCAAATACATTAAACTCCAAGACTCAGCACTCACAGGTGCTGAGGAAAAAATTAGTGTTTCTTTTCTCACTTATTTTTTTGTGAACAGATAGTTACAGCTAAACACATATCATCTCAGAACATGAGATGGCATGATTCATATTCCTAATCAAGAAAGGATTAGCAATATGAATCATATTCCCAGCAGACTGCAACTGGTATATTAAATGTATCAATAAGCAGTGTGTTCACATCTTGACTCTGCTTGCCAGAAGGCTTGTATTCTCCATGATGAAGTACAGTTTTTCCCATCAGTAAGTCAAAAGCTGGAGCCACTCTGCATTAAAACATTTGAGGCCAGACATCTATTAAAACATTTAGAGACATGGGTGAACATTTCCAATACACTCTGATAGCTGGCAGAAAATTTATTCTTAGTATCTCTTCAAAGCTGGTGATATAGATAATAAATAAACTTAAGAATAAGCTAAGGAATACAAGAGTATCCTCTTAAAGAAAAAAATTAACACATACATAAGTAAAATGTATAAATATGAAATACTTTTTTAATGTTTTGTGCCAAAATTCATGTTAAGGTACTTTCATGGAATTCAGTACACAGCAATATACTTGGAACCAAAGAATATATTTATATAAATAAATAAAAATAAGTAGGAACATTGTATATAAAGGTTCCATATGTGATTTCATGCCTTTTAGATTATTTCAGCTTCAGAACTGGTCTACATACGTCACACTGTGCCAAATCTATGCTTTGTTTTAAAACTTATTGTAGGTTATATGCTGATTTATTTTAAAAAATCATGATGATGACTATGATGGCAATGACAATGATGACGACAAAATATCAAGTCTTCCTTGTGTCTTAATATTTGTTACTATATCAATTGTCTTGAAAAGTCGTTGCTGTGATGTAAGAAGGTGTCTCTCCTGTTGTATCCAACTCCCCAGCCACAACCTCCAGAGATCTTCAAGGTCAAATGTTTTTGTCTGGCATTTTTTCAAACTTCTTTTTCAAATGGTATTGAAATGTTTCCTCCACAAAGGCCTACTAATTCCTGTATTGTTAACTCAGAATTCAGGAAATTTGTTGCTAAAATTTGGGTAATATGCAATTTTAACAAGTTTTGATATACTGAATTGGATGCAAGAAACATAAATCCACAATTCTGAAGGTCTTTCAAAGTGTCAGTCATTACAGAAGAAAGCATTTAATGAATACATTTGAATATGTTTGCACTGCATCTCTAGGACAACATCTGGATGGAAAGGCCTTTGGTTAGAGTTTCATTACCTTCAAAGTTCATTATGGAGATGGATGATATTGGTTAAATTATTTGCTATGATCTACTGGTGGAAAGCATATGCTTTGGACTGCTGTGCTGGCAAAAAAAAAGGAAGCAAAAGCAAGTGTTTGTGGCCACTTAGTTTTGCTCCTAAAGAGTGAAGTGAAAAATAATTAAAATTTTACAGAGGGCTTGTAAAAATGCCCAGAATTTGCCCTCTTAATGAGATGACCTTCAGAAAGTCCTCAAGTGGCAATAGGAGGAGCATTATTCAAGCCCAAAGGGAAAAATACAGCTCCCACCATTCTGTTTCAGAGAGGCAAAGTGAAGACAACTTGGCATACCCCAGCAACAGATGAGGGCAGGTAGAACTTAGGAACTGTATTGCAGATCATGAGGTTCTACTTGGAACTGTGAGAGCATAGAGGGGCCTGCTGCTGACACACATAGGATTGAAGAAGTAGGATTTGGAACGGCAGTTGGAGTTTTCATGTGGTAGCAGAAATCACATCAGACTTTTTTTCTGATTTTCTAACAGTGGGATTTCCTTTCAATTCAAATCTATATGGATCAGCTATGGATCATCATATATGGATCATCCATAGAGAATAAACAAACACTGCTCCATAGAGAGTAACATTTGAACTGTTTGCAATCCTGTTTTGCTGCTTTATGAGCAAGCTCTTTCATAATCATAGATGTTTCCTGTAGATAGCCAGGGCATTCAGGACTAAACCTCTATCTTATGGAGTCAGAAAATGCCTTGCTTTCTTTTTCTTTTTTTTTTTTTTCCCTCTCAGGAATCCAACAGAAAATGAATTTGCCTGAAAGAACTGAGTAGCTGGATCATCTTGTTCTGCTTTTGTCTGCTAATGCTACCCTTAAGCCAAGAACAGCTAAAATTTGCAACCTCTTGAAGATACTTTTGTCCTGGCCATGTGTTGGAGAACTAGACAACGCAGTCACATCTGTCTCACAGAATAAAGTCTGCCAGTTCCAGCTTGGTTCTCCATGTTGCTCTGCCAGTCTTCCCCAACAATGCAGAGACTGGAGCAATTTATTTGACTCAGTAACTCAGTAATTTGATTCAGTTCCTGTTGTCAGAACTGAATGATCAAAGGCAAATTGGCAGGACATTAGTTTGGCACCATCACTAAAATTTGTCAGCATTATTTCATTGAAAGGTTAGAAAGTTTATCACACAACACCTCTGGCTTCAATATTCATCATTTACAAGAATGTGAACTGGGACTGACTATGCAAATACAGCAGTAGTTCTGTAGAATAACAGAATTATCAAAATACACTGTTAAGAATGCAAAAGACATGTTGAGATTTTCCTTTTAGTCTACTAAGTTGTTTTTTGTGGGTTTTTTTCTGCAATAAATCTATACAGAATCAATAGATTACATTGTCTTTGATTCTTCTTATCTGTACTACAACACATAAAATAATAATTTTTAAGAAAGTATCTAATTCCTTTTACTGAACTGTGCCTTTCCCAAGTGGCAACAAAACCCTGGAAAGTCAAAAAAAATCCCCACCCAGATAACCAGAAACCATATTGCAGTGCCAGCATCAACAACATAGCCATTCACTTCAAGAGTGGCTTGTACACTAGGTATTCTTCTACTCAGAAATTATTTGTGTGAGAAAATAGAATCTAGGCTTTGATGAGAAAGACTTTCATCTGATAACTGGACTTTTTTATTTTTATGGGCTTCCACAGTGCCTCCAGGGACTCGTATATTTGAGTTTCTGATTCTCCCATATTGACTAAACACCCTGGCCAGCTTACACTGTTAACCCACTGTCCATCCTCTCTCTTAATGAGATAATCTAACACCTGTTGAAAATCTAAGTGACAGTGAATTGGAAAAGATATAGTCCAAATGAAGAATCCAACTCCTCACTGAGTGTGTTTGTCACTGCTGCCCACCGGGTAGGCAGGGCAGGTCATTTAGGATAACGAATTCCACCTGAAATATGCAGCCCAATTCATTTTGCTAAGAAAAGGAAGCAGGAATACCTGTGTTCAAATACCTCCTGACACACTGAAACAAAAAGTGTCCATAGCCTGTAGCTTGTACCATAGAATAGTAACATTTATTTTTCTCCTTATCAACAGAACTGATCTCAGGGGAAAGAAAATAAAAAATGAGAAAGAAAGCACTTGAAAGACAAAAATATATTTGTTTTGAACATTGCAAATAATGAACAACCATTACTGAATTTAAGAAGTTCTGACATTTCATTCAACAAGTGATCAAAATATCTGAAATACAGTCAGTTAATATTGCTCTCAGACTTTTAAAGAATAGATTAAGCTACTGTTATTTAAGCTACCAGCTCTACCAAATTATTTATAGAACCAATAACAAATATATGAGCAAAGCAGAAATATAAGTAGAAGATACACTTTTTAACTGGAGGCCAGACCAGGTGGTGTCAAATGGCACAGCTTCACTGCAGTGTCTGAGCAGAACTGTGACTCCTGTCAGTTCTGGATCTGGATGACTCTTCGCACATGATTTGAATGCCTGTTTTTCTTGCAAATGAATGCCTTTAGAGGAGTTTTGCTGCAAATACAGTTGTATAGTGACAGGTAATTCCTTGCAACATTTCTGTTTACACCACCTTTCAACACTGCACGTTATACTATGCAACTAACTGCAATCAACAGAACTAGAAAAACTTGAAATCCCACCATTAACCATTAGATTCAGTTATAAGGGAAAACCTAACTGATTGTAAACCTAATTGATTGAAAGTCTTAGAGAGTCAGTGGATGGCTGAATATAACAAATATCCTATCAATAGTATGGATCGTGACTTGGATGTTCTTACCCCAGATAAGGACACTGCCACTTAAGTTAGAGAAATGCTCCAACAGGGAATTTGTTGTGGGGTAGAATTAGTAACTATTAATTAAAGAGAGGGAGAAAACAGAAGAAAAAATATCAATTGCAATTTTTATAAGAGACTTCATAGACTCTTCCCATTCCTGTCTGGCTCTGGTGCTGCCTTCATCCACCTTCCTCCTCTTCCTACTTGCCTGACACCTGTTCCTCTTGACAGCTGGACTGGGACACTAGCTTTTCCCATCACAAAGGACAGCAATATTTGGTCTAACAATACAGGGAATAGAAATCATAAAATATTCAGTCATATCAGCACAGATTAACCTGAAGCACAACTATTCACTGTACAGCAGTACTTCTCATAATCTGATCAGTATTTAGTTTAAATCAATATTTGAATATGATTTAAAGACAATTAAACCCTCACAATTTTATAGTTTTTCCACTGATATTTGAGACTGCTAGCACTCAGAAAAATGACATGTGAATAGCACTGCTGAAACACATCATGTATAATGTAGACAGATGATATGCAAGTGTCACCAAAGATCTCTGTGAATGCAGCTCTATTCTCACCAGAAAGAGCCTTGCTAATATTCCTTCCATCCTCCTCTGATTAGATTGCAGACACTGAAAGGGAATTAGCTACCTGCATATAACACCCACAAACCAGCAACCAAACAGCATTTTGAGATAAAAATATGCAGATCTATTTTTACCACAAGAGGAAATAATTAAATTTGAGCCTGAAGGAGTTCTAAGCACACTCAGCCAATAAATTTCATGCCAGAACAAATAGGTCTGAATACCAAATGAAAGTATACACTTCTAACACCCATTTTTAGTTAAATTATGTATATGCATGTGTTAGACGTGTAGGGAGGTGTCCAGTTAACTGCTTGCATATCAGGAAATGCATAAAAGGTAAAATCCTATGGTGTGAAGCCAAAAACCTGGACTGCTGCTGTGTTGCTGATACCTGCCATCCATAATGGAATTTGAAAGTAAAGTAGTGAAGTAGGTGTTGTGTTACAAGTACAACAAATTCTTTTCTTTTTTTTTTTTTTTTTTAAATTATATTAAGCAGCTTGGCATTTTATAAAGGTATATAAGGAATTAATTTAAACCAGGTACTAGTAATAGCTGGTAAAAGATTTTTCTGACTTTATGCTGCCCTTTTAAGATTTGTCCCTGTCCCCCAGTCAGACCAGAATGATGAACAATTTCTTGTTCAATTTGAAAACAGATTTAAGTTTAGTTATGTCAGGTTCCTTTCCAATTACTTCTCAATTTGTTGGACCAGTTAGTTACAAAATGTTACTACTTAGAAATCCAGAATCACAGACCAGAAAGTACTTTTGGACATAAAAAATGTAAGATGCTATTTTTCTTTTTACAGTAATTCATTCTGATAAGACAGTGGTGATGGAAGCACCGAGTCTGGCTTGCACAACACAGAAACTTTCTGTATATGTGAAGGAAGACAAGGCTTCAGAAATGCAGAGAGATATATTTGTGCAACAAAAGACAATTTTGCAGCTTCCTTATCCACAAAATAAGGGATAACCATAAAATACAGATATGTCTTACAAACAGAGGGAATGTAACAAAACAACAAAAAGCATTCAGTATTTATGCAGAAATATTGTTTTCCTCAGGGTCTCTGTCTACAAGGTGAATGCTCCCCGTGATCACCGATTCCTCTTGAGCTGAGGTGTTCTCCACTTGCTTATTTGTACAATATGGAATGTGGCCACAGAAATACATGTAAATCCACGGGTTGGTGCAACTATTTAAGTTGCCAAGGAGCATGATAATGGTGAATGCTGAACCTAGAACAAAATAGTTAAAGGAATAAGAGAGTAAATAAACACTTGTACAAATAAGTACCATTTTCACAGTCTGCTTCTGTCTGCTGTACCTATTCATATATTAAAGTTAGTCTAACAGTAGAAAATTGACATTTTAATGCAGTTTGCAATTGCTGAAGATATGAAGAACATTTTATTGTGTGCATTTCAGAGTTAAATAGTTCTATGTAGCTCTTTTTTGATGTAGCTGCATTAAATTTAAGCTTTTATACAAATACAGATAAATACAGATATAGTGATATATAAAATGTATGTAGAATAAGACAAAGTCACACTGACAGGAATAATTCTTAAAAAAAAAATCAGAAGATTTTTTTTTTATCAGACAAAGCTATTATCTTCTTTTTCTTTTGTTTCTTATCTCTGAGTTTAGAATAGGTGAATTTATACAGTCTGCCTTTCACAAAGAAGCAATAGCATAAGTTTGACAAGATTAATCTTGTTTACAACCTGGCATTCTTTGATAACTCTCTCAGGCTTGCTGTTTAGTTTTATAAACATCTGGTTTTCAACTTCCAATGCTACAGTGTGTACTACAGAGATTTCATCAATTTGATTTCAATATTTAAAAACAATTAGATATCTTATAACATCACTCTTCTATCCAGTAAATAAGAAATATTTACCTCATTCCTTTGGGTAGTCAATTATTTCTTTTCACCTAGAGGACCCAAATACTGTTGCTATACTACCTAAAACCTCTAAAAGTCTGAACCTTTGCTGGAGCACATGATACTTTTCACCCCACTCTTCATTAATCTTTAAATTGTTAATCACACACACATGGTGTTTTGATGACATAACACATTAAGTTCCCTGTACCTAATTAAATAAATGAGATAACCAATCCAGAAATTTCTTTTTAATCCTACTCAAAAGATCACAACTAATTCTTACACAAAACCAAAGTGCAAACATAAAGCAATTGATGGCAATGTGCTAGCCTGCTATGCAGTTAGGAATGAGGAAGAAGAGTATCTTACCTTCAGTCACGACACTGGGGAACCACACAGACCACAGCTGCGCAATGAAGAAAGGTGACCAACAGAGAATATATGCAACAACTGTCACCACTGTCATTTTTACTGTCTTGATCATAGCCTTTGAAATACAGTTCACACTGCTTGCTCGGGATGGCAGGACTTGCTTCTGATTTGTTGCTTCACATTCATTCTGTTTTTTCACATACATATTTCTTCTGATTATTTTGCAAATCTTAACCTGGCATGTAATAAGGATGGCTGAGGGAATGAAGAATATAACTACAAAAATCCAAGTCACATATGCCCTTGGGCCCCATGGCTGAATAAATTCACCCCAACATTCAAAGATACCTGGAGATATTTCAGTCTTAGAAAAGATAAATACTTGTGGTAGGCTAAGAATCAGTGCTATAGACCAACTGGTGCAAATGGGGATGTTCCAGAGAGCTCTCTTCTTTTGGAATGTGACCATAGGGTAGCAAACCGCTTGATATCTGTCCACCGTCATGACCACTATCATATAAGTAGAGGCAAACATGCCCAGCAATTGTAGGTACTTGATAATTCTGCACAAGAAATCTGGCCCTATGAAAACATCTGTAATATCCCATATCAGTTGAGGCAGCACTTGAAAAAAGGCTACCACTAAATCAGCAATGCTGAGGTGAAGCATGAACACATACATCCTAGAGAGCTTCTTTCTTCTTCGCCACAGCACCAGTATGAGAATAAAATTGCCCACTGATGCTGTCAGAAATATGACCCCCAGTACAGCAATCTCTATTTGAGCTAATTGTTCATCTCTTTCTGGTCTTCCAACAGGATCTGACTGATTTGTCAAACTCGGGAATCTGTGAGGACTCTCGGTCTGATATGTGCTATCCTGCATAGGAAATGAAAAATTCTTCATAGTGCTCAGAAGCTACTTACAGTAGCTGCCACTTACAGCTCAGGTTGACTGCTGTGAAGCACCTGCTGGCAAACAAACCAGGCTGGGGTTCGAGTTTCAGTATATCTTCAAGCAAAACTCCTCCTGCTTGTGACAAACTAAAGCAGTGGGACCTGAATCTTGATGAAATTCTGTCTTGCTGGCGTGCACAAAGGCTTTATATAGGCTCCCAGCAGACAGAGTCTTATGTAATTGCAGAGCCCTCGGGTAGGCTGCAGGGACTGCAGCCAATGGCAGACCGAGACACACAATTGGGGGAAATATATAAATAAAAGGCAAACTTCAGAGGCTCAACATGATTCAGTTACTCACTTCAGTCAAAACCCTAACTTGTAAATAGCTGTGGCCAAAGTCATTCTCAAATGACCTTACTCAGGAGACCTCTTGCAAAAATTTTTCTACGCAAACCAGAGGAGCATTCTTCAGATGAATCGGGAGGAATGCTTATACGTAGAAAAAAGTTGGGTCCCTGAGCTCAGGCACATCATAACTGCAACTCTTCGGGCTCCTGGGGCACGACCACATCACGAATGCAGCACAGACAAATAAATGCCTATCTCCATTACCCCTTTCTTTCCTTCTCTTTTTGGAGTCACCTGATTCTAAAATGAAAACTATTTGAACTGCCCTAAAAATAATCTTTTTATTTCAAGATGGGGTCAAGACTTAAAGGTTTTTTCTCAGCAAAATGAAAAATAACACATGTGAAACAAATTACTTTTATTGGGACTCTGAGTCTACTGAGAATTTAACAGAAAAAAAAAGTGAAAATTCAGTGGGAAATCAAACTGAGCAAAAGGTCTCTATGATGAAACAGTTTCCAAGGGTCTTTATTCTACTATAATGCTAAAAGCTGGGAGGTCATTTTTCAGTACCTAAACCTTTTTATTTTTGTGGCACAACTTATATCATGACCACAGGAAATTCATTGTTCTTCAGCCTTCCAGTATGACTTGCATATTGTTAGTTGCAGATAGCAATTTTGAATTAATTTCACTTTTTTCTCCCCCAGCCTTGCCCTCTTAATCAAAAAGAAAGATTTAATAAAATGAGTTCATATAATATGAAAACAGATATTTATATGCAAGCTTATTTGAAGCTAGGGCACTCATATCTTTCTGGTTACAGTCAGTAGACTGGTAATTTGAAGTCTTTCTGAAGAAGAAACCAGTAAGGTTGAAAGTAATATCCATGCTGCATATAGAATACATAATACTGCACCTAAACTGATGAACCACTGTAATCATGACTGTATTATAAGACCAGCTCAGGAAGCTCACAGACAGACTACTACCTCTTTGCACTAAAAGTTTTCATCTATCAACAGACAAGTGAAGGGCAAAATTCATAAACAGAATGATGAGGTAGACTAGAACAGTTTACAAAAACTCTCCCTCTTTCCCCCTTACATCGCACCATGGGATGGATGTTAATAGCTCATGCAAGGGCAACACTGCAAGAACAGACAACAGACAAGCTGAACAATCTCAGGAAACTTTTCCACCAAAAGCAGTTATAAGTACCTGTAATCCACACTTGGCTAAACACTGCTGCAGCTGCCCGAGTCTACAAGAGCTTTTCTCTAAGACTATGTTGCAAAAAGTATGAATCACAACCACCTGATACTTTTTTTCCTAAATTAAAGCCTATTTGTAGGAAACTTGGATTCCTGAAGTTGTTTCATTTTAGTTTTTTCTCTCATTTTGGAACCTATCTCATTCAGTAGGAAACAGGTATAGCAAGATCATAAAGGAACAAATGGTTTTGTCTTAACCCCTATTCTCCCTTCACCCAGAAACTTGCAGAAGAGCAATTGAACTGATCACAAGCCATGAACCTCTGGCAGTTCTGATGACAGCAAACACTGTGCTGTGGAGTAGGCGCACTGATCTCAGGTTCTGCCTTCTGATGAAGACCAAGTTTCAGGTATATGCTCCAAAACCATTTACCTTGACCATCCTGACTCCGTGAGATAACGAAAAGCCAGGTGGGATCTTTATTATTCTAGCAGGATACAGACCAAATATGTACATCTAGGTAGAGCTAGATCTAAGTGGGTTGAAACAGAAATACATGAACAGAAAACTAAGCCCAGGGTCAGGTATGGAAAATAAACTTAAATTTCCATTTCATGATCTGAAAGATAAGCAATTATATGCAAAAAGACCAGAATATGCAACACAAGTCAATTCTGAGATACTACTGGAAGACTAACCAGCATGTTACACCAGAAGCATATATTCATACAATTTTTCACAATGCATAATGTATGGGTAGACATATATTTCAGGCAAAGGTGTTTTATCACCTAGAATCATTCAACAAGATCCATGGGAACATGCAACTCTTCCTAGGCCTACACACATACAGAGCACACAGTGTCTGGGCAGCAGCCCTGGTGTCAGATCCAGCATGTGGACATAGGTTAAAGGGCAAGCACACTGAGAAACAAGTAGCCCTTGCCATGTTTATAAAAAGGGTGGTGGACCTGATTGTACAAATTGTCCTAGTGGTGTAAGACTCTATCTTGTATATAATCAGTTCAGTATATATTAATACTTCATAATTTTAGAATTGTGTCCTTTCAATCTTTTTCATGCATGGTAGTAGATAGTCAGGATAGCATTATATTGAAATTTGTTCCACTCTGGGAATATAATTCACTGAGAAAATTAAGATAACAGATGAAAATGTTTAAGTAGTCTTAGCCCTTCTTTCATTCCAGCAGTGTCCTTCTCCCATTGCCCAACTTTGCTTCATTCCAAACTGTATCTGTCCAAGTTACATTCTATTCCTAAATTATTTGCTTTCAGTAGTGTGGGATGGCATATTTTAATTAACTACTGCTCTCATCTAATGTTTGTCAGTTAGCTAGAAGGAAGAGGTTCAGCTCTCAGATTAAGTCTCAAAATTAGGTACCTTCTCAGAACTTCAGAATAACACAGCTGCTCAAGACAGCAACAACACTGAATTTAGAGCATTTTACCATGAGTTTGTCCTGTCAGGTCTTGAAAACTTCCAAGAGCTTACAATCCCCAAACCTCCCTGGGTAACTGATTGCAAATGCTTATTTTCACTATGAAAGAGCTTTCCTTATGTGCCACTAGACCCTCCCCTGAATCTTAACACCTCCTCTCAGTAAAAGCCTGGTTCAGACCTCTTGCCAGCATCCTCATAGGTATGGGAGGGCAATGTTAGGGCCTCTGAAGCCATCTCTCTTCCAGGATGAACAAGCTATATTGGGAGCATTGTGGAAAATATTGTATTCAAGGAATTAGTGATCTTGAACAGGACATGTCTGCTCTACTGAGCCTTGTACTTAAAGCCTGTGCTGCTGCCAGTGAACCTTATGACTGAGATGGCACCCCAGGCTGTCAGGAGAAAATGCATGCGATTGTTTGCCCCATAAAATAAAAGGCTCCACATTGTGGAAGGAAGGAGGAACACCCAGCACAGATGGCATCTGTGCAGTGTGTTAGGAAAGATCCTCTAGATGTTTGTCTGATGCTGCACAACAGCAGAGCTCCCAGCATTGGCAGGGACCTAACATTTCCTCACTATATATATTTCTGTTTTTTACCCTATCTTACGAGAACACCTATTTTACCTCTTTATTGCTTTGCCACTCTGGTGAGGAGCACAAGCCCAGCTCACTCAGCTCCCTTCACTGGGTTACATCTTCATAGCCCTATGCTGAGCTCACTCAAGCTCAGCAACACCTTTGCTGTGCAAGGGCTCCACAAGAAGAGGCAATATTCCATATGTGGTGAGTAGTGAGCGCTGAGTAGGGGGGTATAAACACTACCCTTGATCTATGAATTTCATGTGAGCGGTGCATGTCAACTCCCATCACAATCTTTGTCTTCCAAAACCTGTATGAATTGCAGTGCATTGCAAATCTTTTTGCCAAGCCAGGCAAGGAACATATGCTGAAGCAGAAATATGTACATTTTAGGGTTAAAAGCACCCCACCAGCTTCTAAAACCCAGAAACTGTTTCATCTCATAACAGATATTACTTATTAAATACAACTTGTGAAGATAACAGGTTTGCTCACTTTTACTTTGGAATGCATAAACAGGTTCTAAGAAGGTCCTATTTAAGAAAAGATCAAGTGGGAAATATTGGTGTCTGCTTTTGATGTAAGAAACCCAGGTCTGCATCTTTTCTCTGTGAGATTCAGTAGATCTGAAGGACTAGTAGATTGCTATTGCACTCGTCAAGTCATGAAAACCAACTAATTAAGAAAAGAAAATCTTCACATGATTTGTGACATCTCTAGAGAATTTTAGATAAATCAAAAATTATTTCCTTAGTGCTTACGTGATTTTATCTCTTTTCAAACACTAAAATGTAAAAACAGCTTCCAAGGGACTTGTAGGGTGGAAAGGACTAGAGCATGCAGTAAAAGATGCAATTATAAAGAAGATGGTAGAAACATTTACTTCTTAATTTTTTTTTTTTAAACACTTACTTAGTAATATGTTCTAGGGTAGATAAAAAGAGTTAACACAGCATTTCATTGAAATTGCCCTAATGATAGAGAATACATTTGAGGAGATGTATTAAGTAATATAAATACACATGTATAGCATGTAATGTTAAGAGAAATTCTTCTGGAAATAGTGCAATGTCTCGTAAATGGATTCTTTCATACATGAGATCAGCCAAAGTTACAAATGAATACTGTTCAAGGACTTAGCCTGTATCACAAGTGCATTTACAACAATGTAGCATATTTTTCAGTATTATAATATTGATTATTTCCAGAACACAATGGATAAACAACTTCACTGTAATTTTTACTGGAACTAAAATTATGTATACCTTGTTGCTTCTGCACTAGTACAATTTCCTACAGTTCTGGATTCTTAAAAAATTAAATCATTAAATCAGTAGTTATATTAAGTTATATTATACAAGGTTCTTTGTACCAGGCTTAATGGTGTGCTCCTATATAGTTAGAAAGTTACTAGACCAGCTCTATGAAACTAAAACAGCCTCAAACTCAACAACTAAAGGCAATGTGCCAACAAAAACCAGAGAA